CCGACTGGCTCACTATAGATAATGAATAAAAATTTAGAATTTAACGAAGAAGCGAAGGAAGTCCGGGTGTTTTGATGCTTTTGCATTCATCTAATTGTACACTGCTGCTTTCTAACGATAGCAAGTGGAAATTTTTGTTCAGCGTCATATAAGAGATTTTGATTCGGCCAAGTAAACAGAATTTTTGAGTGACAGGCTTTCCTTTTGGAAATGTCGGAGCAATTTCTTGTTCTCATTTTTTATGCATTGTTGAAATGCAAAAGCGCGTACTGTGAGCAGATTGTCTATGTGTTTGTTTTTTTTTTGTCTGGATTGTTTGTGTGTGTTTATCTGCATGTTTTGTTTCCTAATTCTACGAAATTGCCATGGATAGATTATCCGGACCCAGAACAGTGTGGTTTATGTAATATCGTATGTTCTTTTCTGACTTTGTGCCTTTCTGTCTATTTGAACTTCCACGACCCGGAACGTTACTGATTCCTGTACATGTAACAAAGGGAAAATAAGGGAATAAGAAGCATCAGGCTGTTCTGTAAGCAGATGGTAGCGTCCAGGTTGATCTTGGGTGTAAAAGTGAGGAAGGTGTATAAGATAGAAAACAGAAGAAAATGGAAGGAAGAACGAATGAGGTAAGACATTTCGGTCCATTAAATCATATACGTCTTAGCTCAACACAAGTTTATAATGGAATGTGAAAAGAGCCAAAACAAGAACTTACGTGAAACAGATGTGCTTTGATTTTAGTATTTTTCGACCAGTGTTTCTTCAGAAGACGCCATATTTGCTGAAAACTTCAAATTCTCAGCACTGTTTAGATATGCAGTACACAGTCGCTACAAAATTAGGGGCGTGTCGTAACAAATGCGCTATCATGTAGTGGGTGAGGGAGCGAAAGAAAAAAGTTCCCAGTCCTTTAAGCATCGGGATTTATGAATTTGCTTAAGATGGCACGAAGCTGAAATTTCGACAACTTAAACCACCGTGTGGTCTAATCGGCATAATCGACGTATTCCCGGGCGGAAAATGTATTTCCAGTCCTGTTACTTCTCAAGCACATATAGGTCCAAAGATATTTTTGGGGGGAGCGATTTTCGAACAAATCTAGAAGGGATTTTATCCGGCTAAATTTGTGCAGTATATCAGTCTAAGGAATAAATGTTACAGAAGAGCAGGTTGTACTGTTACGAGACGTGGTCAAGGAAACGAAAACTTGTGAAAATTATTTGATTTTATCTTAGTTTTATAAGAAATCAAAATTTTCTAATAATTATCGACAATTTAGTTCACCGTTGGAAATGAAGCAACACCGCCTACGACCACCATCAAGACGGGAGCATTTGTACGGCTCAGTAGAATTACTGGTCACATCCGAACCGGATGGGCAGCAACGGAGTGTCGGTCGTTTCAGACTAGAACCTTCTACAGCACCTCATCTGGTTCGTTCATTCAAAAAATCATTGTTCTAAGATTTTTCGATTTATGAGGACAAAAATATTAGAATTTTTTAAAATTTTCCGAGATTTCCAAGAAAATATTGGACTTCTTCGCCAGAATTTCGATGAACTCCGAAATTTCGACTGCGTAAATATAGTAATTCCAAAATTCTTTGGAATCCCCAAAATTTTGAAGAAAAAATCGCAAAACTCAGCACGGAAACAACGAAAATTTAAAATTGCTAGTTAACTTGCCGCAAAAAATTTTTTCTCCTTTTCAGCACAGTCATTCATCCTTTGACCGGCGGAGGTAACAGTATGGAGGGAACCACACAACTGAGGAAAGTAGCACTAACAAAATAATTAATTACAACCGGAGGTACGCATACCATGGCCAAAGGGCAGGAAACAAGGTGCGAACACATCCCGGTAATATTGCTACATCGGGTCCCAATATCGAATGCCCGGGTGGTCTTGCAGTTCTTGGTAATGAATTAAGTTATGAATGTGCTTTAAAGGAGCCTTCGTTGCCTTCAACATCACCTGTAATTGTTGAGAATCCACAGGAAGAAACACGTTGGTACTGGCGATATTATTTGGGCAGCGGTTTGTTACACTTTCATCATTTAAAATTTAGACTGAATAAAACATTTACAAAAATTTTGAAGTGGATTTTTGTGCTTCCCATTAAAATTTGAACTAAATTGGATTAAATTTGGACTTTTCTTTTAAAATTTTCTCAGGATGCCCAAACATAA